TGAAATCCTGTAGTTCTGTAGGGGCTGGAGTAGCATCTCCCACTTGATTCAAACTGGCCAATGGGAAGGGTGCCTGTGGGGTGGAACTTTTTGACTGTCAATAAAAAGGGAAAGACCAGTCGGGGAGCGCGGCCGTTTGGAAATCTTCTATGCCCTAAGCTCCCGGCCGATGAATAAAGCCCTTCCTCTTATAACTATGGTGTTTGGGTGCTCTTTCTCTCTGTTTGGCCTCGTCTTCCTGCAACAAAGGGGCCTTCATGAGTGCACCTTGGGACGTGGGACAGTCTTCTGCTGGCAAGTTGTACATAACACAGCCTTACACTAGCCCCAAGACCTCCACAGGTTTGCCCCTGTCAAGTTTGTACAGAGGATGCACCTCAATGCTATTTTAGGGGAGCACATTAGGATTGGCTGTACCAGTGAACCTCACTGGGGGTGGTCTTGTCCCCCAGGAGCCATCTGGCAATGACTGGAGAGGGAGAGAATTACTGCTGACATCTCGCAGGTAGAGAAACCCCTTGATATCCTCCAGTGCACAGGACAGCCCCATGACTGGGAGCTATCCAGCCTCATGAGCAGTAAGGCTAAAGGAGAGAGACCCTGGCTTCTGAGGGTACTTAACTGGGGCAGAACAGGAAGATCCCCCCCTGAGTGCACTGACATCCACAGCACTGACCCCCTGGCATGAGGGCCCAGGCTCTACAGTCATGATATTAAAAAAATGGGCAGATCTAAGCTCCTACTGGCATCCTCGGACGGGGGAATCAACTCCCTGTCATAGCTTCTCTGGCTGGCCCCTGACATCGCGGGGTCTTTCCACCCTGCCACGCCAACCTCCAGCCCTCTACCTCCGAAGGACCATCATCCTTAGAGACATGAAGGGGCCCCTCAGTATCCCCCTCCTGGGGAGATCCCAATAGCCGCATCTGGACAGGCTCCCACTCCTGTTCATATCTCAGAGCCCTGCCACCATTCCGCAAAGGGGCATATTAAGCCAGAAGAAGCGGTTCCTTGGGCCAGAAGGTGACCTGTCCTGTGTGGCCACTGGCTGACTTGACCCCTGGCTAATCTGTAGAGGTGTTGCCTTGGGAATGGTTCTCAGCTCCACTGCCGTGGAACAAGCAACAGTCAGTTGTCAGAACACAAGGAGGAAGACCCCGCCACATACACGCACACCCCAGTGTGTGCCCCGATCCACCTCCTCCGCAAGGCGCCCCTTCCTTTCTCACCCACGCCAGGCTCCCAAACGCTCTCCCTCCCTGACAGCTGGCCGTGGCCCTGTGGAAGGCGCCTCCCCACTCTCTCATCCTCACCGTAGGAACAGCGGAGGAAGCGGGGTGATTCTGTGCTCCGACTGACCACACCAGGAGATCCCTCCTAGCTCCTCCCAGCCGAGCCCGACCCTAGGCTGTAGAGGTGTGGGCAGCCAGGGAGGGCCAGGGCCCAGGCCCACTCCGGACACTGTCCGCTCCGATCCCCGCCGTGGGTCTGCCGCCCGGCCCACGCCTGCAGCCCAACTCCTGATGACCCTGCGCCCCCGCACTGACCCTAGACCCGCCTTCCGGTTCGGCAGGCTCCAAAAGCCCGGGAGTTGCCCCTCGGGCAACACCTATGACGGACGGTCATTTGCCCCAATCCGGGAAGCGGAAGCCGAGGGACGGAACCCAAGACAGGAATCAGCCAATGGCGATACGCCTTCTGGGGAGTGGGCGTTACCTGGGAGGGTGGGCAGGGCGGGGGAATGGGCGGGGTTACGATCTTGGCGGTCTACAGTGGTTGATGAGCAGAAACTTTGCCTGCAGTGTTCCAGGCCTTGGACACAGAGGCAGCCTGGGTTTCCAGGCTGGGTGAAGAGCGCCACTTAAGCGGTTTATAGACACGACGACCCACAGCCCTCTTGACTTGGTGGTTCCCAAGGAAGGGGGAGCTGGGTCCGCCCAGCAGCACAGGCTGATACCAGCCACTCACATGCAGCCTTGCTCTGAGCCCGTGGGAATACTGCCTCGTCTATAACTCTACCTTCCTGCCAAATCCTTTGACAACTCTCTGGTCAGGTGAGCTGCCCAGGGTCCCCCAGTCTCACAAAGTAAGATACTGTCAGACGACAGAATGGATCCTGCCAGTTTCAGGCTGATGGGGCCAGGACAACCAAGATCCACCGGGCAGCATTGTCTTTGCACAAACACCTACAACATGCCAGGCAGGGGTGACCCAGCAGTGAACAGAGTCCCTGCCCTCGGCACACATGTCCCCCACTCAGCCCCCGCTTGCTGGAAGAGGATGTCCATTTAATTGAGGGGAGGGGAAATGGTTAGGGGGGATGCAGCTATGGATAAGAAAAGAAAACAAGGTCAGTGTGACCTTGAGGGTGAGTGGCCATCAGCAAGGAAACGGATGGGATCTGAAGTTAGAAACAACAGTCTCTCAGCTTGAAATAATTCCGAGGCCACCACATATTTCCCTTTCTTGTGTGCCAGGTGTCTGCTGCCTTTCCAAGCCTGTCCTTAATCCGAATCCAGTGACAAATTTGTAACAGCACTGGAGAGGATTCATTACTCCCATCATGTAGAAAATGGGGTTCAGAGAAGTTAAGCGACTTTTCCAGGGACACACAGCTGGAGCAGACCACCAGCTGCTATGTAAGTAACCTGGTTCCATGGTTCCACAGTCATTGCTCTGGAGAGAGAGGACTGAGCCCCAGTTGTCCCCTTGGGTCATCCCACAAAGGGCATTGTCTTTGCAGGGAGGACCCAACAGTCTCCAGGGAAGAACTCATTTCAGAATAAGTCTTGGGCTGGCCTTGGCCCCAAGATGCTGACTCACTGCAGAAAGGCAGGTGATCCAAGCACAGGCTGTCCTCCAGCCCAGGGGAGCCCTGGGGACAAGGACTCCAACTGCAAACCACCACTCTGTGAGATGACAGCAGCAGAGGTGTTCATAGCCGTCATAAGACAGTGAGGGGAAGGGGGTCCTTGTTCCTCTCCCATGCCACCACGAGGTCCTACCCGGACCACCCCGGCTCCCTCCTCAGTGCAGACACCAGAGTCATCTTTCCCAATACATAGCAGGTCACCCCACCTACTTCTGAACCCCTTCAGAAGTTTCATGCTGCAATTCACAAGGCCTTACCCAATTTCCAATCACCTCTGGGGCTGCTCTGCTCTCCCTGGGTAACTCCAGCCACCCAGGCCTTCTGCAGCACCTGGAGCAGGACCAGCCCTCTCCTGCTTCACTCCCACTTGGAAGGAGCATCCTCCAGGTGCAGTCTGGCCCTCTGAATGTCTTCCTCAGCAAGGCCTGCCTGTACCCCTCGGGAGGCCCTGTCCACCTGTTCCTGCCATCTTGGCTGTCCGACCTGCTTCCTGGGCATTGCTGCTTTCTCCCATGTTTTAATTCCACTGTATTTGTTTTCTGCTGTCCCTACAAGGATGTAGCCTCCTGGTAAACATAGTCTAACTGGTTTGCTGCTATATCCTTAGCACACAGCCAAGTGCCTGTGCAGGGGGCACTTGGCAGGGGTCTGTAAATATCTGTTGCAAAAAGGACAGCACAGGGTTAGCACCCCAGTGGCCTGACCACTCAGCAGCATGGGTACCCACCAAGCTGAGCTTTGCAGTCAGAGTGACCACACTCAGCCAACGAATTTCAGCCAACAGTGGAGGAGGCTGGCATTGCAACCCGACACCTGGATTTGGGGGCACTGGAGGACAGACCTGTCATCTTCCCACCCAGCTGTGCCATCCTCTAGGGAGGATGTATGGGGCTGGCCGGCCACATAGGCACCCCGCCAACCAGACACCCACTGGCTGTTTAAATGAGACCAGAACCAGAGTCCTTTGTGCTGAGGGTGGCAGGCCCGGCTGACGACACACAGATCTGGGCCTCATGGAGGAGTCAGTCTGAGCACTGATGCCAACACACCAGGACCAGCAGATGCAAGAGTAACACATCTCAAAGCCTATCCACCCCCATCCTCCTGGGCAACAGTGACATATGTCATCTGCAGCCAAGACTCCTGATGCCCAAGACACTGGACTTCAGATGTGACATATCAGGTCCCAAGTACGGCTTTCATGCCCATGGACTGCTTGTGCACATAAGCCTGCGTGTGTATGTTCAGGAAAATCCAAGGCAGCTGCATTTTAAACAGAGAGGCAATTTCCTGAAAGTTGAGGCTGGGGAGTAGGGTGGGCTCAGTGGCCCCTCATTTTGTAGACATCAGGACAGCGAAATAGAATGTTGGAAGTGCCACCTGTGGGCTGGTGGAGGAGCGCCCTGGTGGCCATAGCAGAAATAACTTGCACTCCCTTTGCTCACCTACTTGGAGAGTTTAATGGGGGAAATTTATTACCAGCAATTTTGCGGATGAACCGAGACTTTAAAAAATATATGTATTATATATATATATACACATATATGTATATATACATATATAAAATGTATATATCTCCATCGTGCTTTCTTATACAGAGTCTCTGTTATCCAAACTAGAATGAATAGTGTGATTATAGCTCAGTGCAACCTCAGACTCTTGGGCTCATGTGATCCCCTGCCTCTGTCTTTCCCTGCACACCTCAGCCTCCCAAGAGAGTAGCCAGGACTCCGGGTCTGCTCCACTCTGCCTGGCTAACATCAGTTATTGCTCCCTAGGAACTCTGTGTGTGCTCTAGCTATCCCCAAGTGCCACTTCTGTCTTTTATGCTGACTTTGGATATTGAAACCTCCTCTGCTCCCAGGGTCCTGCTATTTGCAGTGGTACCTCTGCTAACAACACCCCAACCAGGTTTTCCAAGCTCAACCTTGATGCCTGCAGAGAATGGCGGAGCCCCTGCCAGGCATCAGCTTCAGCTGGGTGTCCATTCTCTCTTTCCCACATGCTCCATGCCCCTGGCTCCCCATCTCTGAAACTATACAGGAAACCCCAGAGTGACACATGCGAGGCAGCTAAGGGGCTAGGGCAGCACAACAGGGTCTGTTCCTGGGAAGTGAGTGCCCTGCCACCCAGCAGGTCAGAGGTGGGGGACCTGTGACAGGTGGGTGTGGCAGCCTGTTCTCATCACAAGGGGGCCCTCCACAAGGCAACAGGAGTGCAGCTGTGAGGGGCTGCAGGGGCCCTAGCCCAGGGTGAATCGGGAGCCACCAGCCGAAGGATGAGCATCACCCAGCCAGGGCCCTGACACTGGGGGAGGCCCAGCAAGAGGATCTCAAAGGATGCACAAAAGGGCCATGAGCTCAAAGTCAGCTTGAAATATGGCCAGGCTTGTACAGACAGAAGACAGCCGACCACCTGTGGGAAGGGGAACAGCCCCCAGAGTCACCCACAACCTAATCCCCAGAACTGCACATATGTTACCTGACATGGCAAGAGGCACTTTGCAGATGTGATTGAGTTAAGGACCTTGAAATGGGGAGATGATCCTGGATTAGCCAGGTGGGCCCATGTGGTCACGGGGATCCTAATAAGGTGAGGGAAGGCAGGAGGGTCAGGAGATGTGAGGATGAAAGCAGAGAAAGGGGTGGGGGAGGGGGAGGCTGGACGAGGCAGGAACCAGAGAAAGGAAGGGAGTCCCGTCTAGGGCCTCAGGAGAGAACTCGACCCTCTGGGCCCTGATTGCAGACATCTGATCTGCAGAGCTGGAAGTAGAAACTTTCTGCCTCCTCCCCTGTGAGCCTGAAGGGGTCTGAAATCAGCTGCCAGATGCAGAAAATAAAAACACAGGACGTCCAGCTGAGTCTGAACTTCAGATAACGAACAATGCTTTAGTATAAATAGTACCAACTATTGCATGAGGCATAATTGTACTAAAAATTGTTTGTTGTTTATGTGGAATGTCAATGTGATGAGGCATCCTGACGACATCCGTCTATCCTAGTCACGAATGGCAGTGGCAGGGGAGGGGAGAAAGAAAGAGAAAACCTACATTCCCTGCTGTCTGCAGCAGGCTCCTGAGGGGACAGGAAGAACTAATGTTGGGTCAGGGTCCATATCCTGTTGGCCTTGTTTTCTTTTTGGGACAGAGTCTGGCTCTGTCGCCCAGGCTAGAGTACAGTGGCGTCATCGTCCCTCACTCCAGCCTCATGCTGCTGGGCTCAAGCGATCCTCCAGTCTTAGCCTTCCTGAGTAGCTGGAACTGCAGGCATGTGCCACTATGTCCAGCTAATTTTTATATTTTTTTATAGAGACAAGGTCTTGCTATATTGCCCAAGCTGGTCTCAAATTCCTGGCCTCAAGCTATACTCCTGCTATGTCTCCCAAAGTGCTGAGATTGTAGGCACGAACCACTGTAATCAGCCGTGGTCCACATTTTATTATCCAAAGATGTCCCATTACATACACAGAGACTGCTTTCAATCTAAAGTCACCCCAGGACCTAATTTCCTGAGAACGGACAGAAAAAATCCTGAAGAAGGTCTGAGTTTTTCACAGGAGGTCAAGAGGCTGGCCCTCCGTTCCCGTCCCCACTGAGCAGGTTTGAGAGGCTATAGAAAATAAAGCTGGTTGTGTTATGACCCTA